TCTAACTAGACAAACGTTCTAAACTTTCAGTTAATTACAAAAGACTCATAAACATGACTACAATAAGACCTATTCCGATTACGAAATTGAGCTTTGGAGTTTCACTAAACCATCAAATTCCTCTCGTATCCAATCCTTACAATCCAAAATGCTTCGTAAAATCCTTAAAGCTCCTTACTTTGTCACAAATAAAATCATCCATAATGACCTTAATGTACCATATGTTTCCGATTTAGCTCAATCCAGATACCTGTCCTTTCATAATAAACTTCTGAACCATCCGAACCCTTTTGTTTCCAACCTTGCTTCCTCTTCTATTCCTGATAATCCTCCGAGGCGTCTGAAAAGAAGATGGCCTCGAGATCTTCTAGTATAGAAATATAATTGGAGTGCTACCAATGGGTAGTTTCTCCTCATGTTGTACATGTCATATTACTTGTTCATATTTACTTGTTGTATTTATTATTAATTACAGTTGTAAATTTCGTTAATAAAAAAAAAAATATTTCATAATGCTAATCTCGCCTTGTTGACGTTTCACTTAAATCGTGTGGTCTGAAGCTCACACCTTAGTTTTTATGGAGAGGTGATGGCTTCTGCCCGAAGCTTATATATATATATATATAAAATGATATATTTACAACTTTAAATATCAATGAAGAATATATATAATAACATGAAATCGCTTGTTGAGAAACTATTCACTAATAGCACTCAAATAACGACAATTACTTGGGAAGAAAACGAAAGAAACTAACTACCTTTATAAAATGGTGTTTATGTGATTCTTGACGTCCTATTACGTAATTTCAAGAAAAAGAATACTTTCTTTAATTTTTGAAGGAAGCTAGACTGTTCTGCATACCATATAATAATAATAATAAATTTATTTATTGAGCAATTTTGCAAATGCCTTTTGGCATATTTTGTAAATTTGATGTTCGTTAGCGAACCTCCTCTCCGGGATTAGCGTGAATACGTGATTGGAGAAGCCTCCCAGTGAAGGCTCTCCTAACGTGACTCCTGACGCAGCAGATCTCTGTTCCAGAGGCGCTTGAGTCTCCTTGGTGGATTCTGTGGTAGTGTGTCTGTTAGTAATGTTTGTACAAGTGGATTAGGATGTCCAGCTAAGGAGTCATGGAAACTTTTATAATATTTTTTAATTACATCAGTCACTTGTAATATTTGTAGGTCTTTATGAAGTGATTTATTGGTTATGTAGAAGGGACAATGAGTGATATACCGGAGAAATTTGGATTGGAAAATTTGAATAGTCTGTATGTGTGTTTTTTTGCATGAACCGCACACCTGAGAGGCATACGTCCATATTGGTCTGAGTAGCATGTTGTATATAGTAATTTTGTTAGAAAGTGATAGTTTGTTTTTATGGTGTAGCATTCGTCTTAGTAGTGATAACCGATGGTTCAATCTCTTTTTTAATGTAGTCACGTGTGATTTCCAGGTCAGTCGTCTGTCCATTGTGAGTCCTAGATATTTTGTCTCAGTATGATTTGGCAAAGGGGTGTTGTAAAGTGTCAGTGGAGGGCAATCCGAATGTTTAAGTGTAAATGTAACCTGGTTTGATTTTTGAATGTTAATTTTTATGCGCCATTTATCAAGCCAGTCTTGTAGAAGATTTAAATGAATCTGTGCTTTCTGAGATGCTGTGATCGGATTAGAGTCAGTCGAGAGTATGACAGTGTCGTCTGCGTAAGTTGCGAGTAATGTGTCTGGTGTCTGTGGAATATCAGAAGAGTAAATTGAGTACAGAACCGGACCTAATATACTGCCCTGCGGTACTCCCGCGCCGATTCGGCAATAGTCGGAGTATTTACCATCCTGGCTAACAATAAAAAATCTATCCTCAAGATACGATCTGATTATTAAATAATATGTATGCGGAAAGATTGGTTTAATTTTACAAAGTAGACCATCATGCCACACTTTATCGAAGGCCTGTGAGACGTCTAAGAAAGCTGTTGTGCAAAATTCCTTCTTTTCCAATGCCACAGCAATTTCTGCATACATACCATGGGTGATAAATATTCAGGACGCAGTCATTCTAAAAATTTTTTTTGTGCCGACGTTTCAACCCAACACAAATATTTCAGATAGTAAAAATGGAATCTGTATACATCAGGAAAATGTTCAGCATTCCTTCTTTGTTATGAGCTATTATTTATAGTTTATATTTCATAATGTCGTAAACCTATGACTTCCTGTCCTACAGTATCCTTTAACAATACCCCACTTATCCCTGTTGACCAAATCCGATACCTAGGACTCCACCTTGACAAACGACTCACTTGGAACCCCCGTACCAGACTGAAACGACTAGAAACCGCCCGACGTTTCCGACTACTCCAGCACTTACTAGACAAACGCTCTAAACTGCCAACTATTTACAAAAGACTCATATATATTACTATAATAAGGCCTATTTGGACTTACGGGATCGAGCTTTGGGGCTCTACTAAACCATCAAATTCCTCTCGTATCCAATCCCTACAATCCAAAATCCTTCGTAAAATCCTTAATGCTCCCTACTTTGTCACAAACAAAATCATCCATGACTACCTAAGTCCACCATATGTTTCCGATTTGGTCCAATCCAGATATCTATCCTTCCATAATAAACTTCCGAACCATCTTGTTTCTAACCTTGTTTTCTCTTCGATCCCATATAAACTCGAAGGCGTCTGAAAAGAAGATGGTCTCATGATCTTATGTAGATATATTATTAGAGTGCTACCAGTGGGTAGTTTCTCGACAAGCGTTTTCATGTCATTATATTCCTGTATACACAGTTACTAGATGTAATTATATTTTAATACAATAGAAATAAATATTTTGAATGGATGTTATACATTATCAGATACATATGAATAGATTTTCAATTTTCTGCGTGAAAATGTTTTGATTTTAAACAACTACGGTAAGAATTACTTATGTGTTCCTGGAAATAAAAAGTTATCCCAGAAGCTTGTAATGGCATCAGATTATCGATCTGCTATAGTCTTTTATAATTTCGATTTATTTTAACAATCGAATCAGTATCTCTTTATGTAATAATAAATAAGGCTCTTTATTGCTTCAATCAGAAACCTTACTGTAAAGAAAAAGAACAATTTTCCAGAACTATTCCAAATAGCTCTTATATGAAAAGTGGCAAACATAAAACTCTCTAAAACCTGGCCAAAATAGTTTGAATTGTGCATGAATAATTTTAATCGTAATAACCTGAATAAGATAAACTACCGTTTTTAGTTCAGCAAAAGTATGTCGGTATAGATCGCTGTAAAAACGAATATAATCTCTTTCCTAATAGCTTTGGAACCAGTGCCCAAAAATCGACTTCATTGCAGGCGAAGGTTTCATTGTAAATTACGAAATTGTGTGTTATTCTGAGTAAAGAGAACCTTGTCTGCCGTTACAAAGCCGCTGCTTTAAAAAATGGCGGCTGATTTAAAGACTATTAGGCCAATAATTTGAGGATCGAAAGAGGAAATCAACACCGAAAAATCTGGGAAACGTTTTAATGTTTTTAACTTGTATATATGGGTTTAGACATGTATAAAAAAAAAATCTAACGCGAGCCACCAAGGGAAAACTTTTTACAGCTAATAAAGTCAATTTTTTTGTTTTTTCACCTATAACTCTTAAACGATGCATTGAAGTGAAAAATAAACTCTTTAATAAATTAAAGATCGTTAAATTTTGCGTTGAGCGAATACATAAACTTTATAGTTTGATTACGTAGTAAGGTATAAAATCATGGTCAATCAACGCTGATGTTTACTAAATTTATCAAAAACTGAGACAAATTACTATAAATACCTCTGAAACTTGGAAATGAGTTCCCTAAGTGAATCAAAGTTCTAGAGCATCAAATATTGCGTCCATTGCGTACTGACATTTTTATTGAAGACCAATTATATATCGACATATCGTTTATCAAAATTCTTCGCTAATGACAGGTAGAGAAGAACTTTATACTGCATGTAACAAACTCTAAACAAAAATAACTCAATAGAATAGACACCCACTCTGTTGAAATATTGAAAATAACGTTTACCTTCATCGGGAAAATTTCTAACCATCGGGAGATTACCGATTTGGTCGGAGTATATGAACTATATTATATTAGTTGGTACTCACTGGACGCAGAATTTGATGCGCTACAACTTTGATTCTATGGGTTTTTTTCCTCTTAAGGAACTCATTTCCAAGTTGGAGGGACATTTATAGTTATTTGTCTCAGTATTTGACAAATTAGGTACAAATCAGCGTTGGTTGACCTTAGTTTTATGCCTTACCCACGTAACTAAATTATAAAGTTTATTCACTCGTTCGACGCAGAATTTAACGTTCTTTAATTGATTAGAGAGTATAGTTTTCACTTTAAATAGGAGTTATAGGTGAAAAAACAAAAAAAATATCGAAAAAATCACTCTTTTGGCTGTAAAAAGTTTTCCCTTGGTGGCCCGCGTTAGAAATTTTGTTTTTTACATGATTAAACCCTTATATACAAGTTTAAAAAATAAAAACTTTTTTATATTTTTCATAATATTTCCCGTTTCGATCTTCAAATTATTGGCCTAATATTCTTTAATTAGCCGCCATTTTTTAAAGCAGTGGCTCTGGAACGGCAGAGTAGGTTCTTCTTACTCAGAATAACATACACTTTCATAATTTTCAATCCAATCTTCGCCTGTGATGAGGTCGATTTTTGGGCTCTGGCCCCAAGACTACTGGGCTGCTATTTGACTATAGTCCGTTAGGTATAAATTGATTCTCAGATACTCAGTTATGTTATGTACTCAGCATTAATCACTCATAAAGCCAATCATATGAACAAATTAAATTTCTTTCTTAGAGGAAAGAGGAGTGAGAGTTAAGAAGTTGAAAACTCTTCATCCAAGCACTTTGTCCTTAACATGATAGCTTAGTTCTAGTACTTATTTAGAAACCTTTTATAACAATCTTCTTTCTTTTTTCAGGTGATCTTCAATTAGGAAACGTTTCGAAAACAAATTGGTGAGTTTAAAATTTAAATTAATTTATTAAAATGTAGCGATGATTAAATAATCGACTGATCAATTTATGGATGAAACAAATTTTTCAGGAATTTCAGTCAAGATTTTTTATTTGGTTAGTCGACGTTTCGACCCAAACATGTGGTTCATCTTAGGGGCTATAGTTTGGAAGTCGAGACAAGAACTAAAATGAGTTGTTATTTTATCATTTTGCTGATAAAATTAATTAATAATATTAAGATACAATTTTTAGAGGTGATATATACCGAAAAAGGTTTGAATCCTGGTGGAACAGTATCCGTGGTTGGGTATGCTGATGGTTTGATACTCTAAAGCGAATACATAGAAACAATAAAACAACAACGTTGAGGAACTCCGGTAAAGAACTAGGACTCGAAATAAATACGGATAAGACATAATACATCGCTAGCTGCAAAAACATTGACCATTTCGATGATATCGGTATAGAAAGGAACACGTACAGAATTTGAGCTAACTAGGATCTAAGATAATAGAAAAAAACGAAATTGAAGAGGATATTAAGATTAGGTTGAAGGAGAGAAATACTTGTTATTTTTCTTTGTCAAAACTATTTAGTTCTCGCCTCCTGGCCCGAAATTTAAAAATGAGAATTTACAAAATCATTATCCCTTCTACGGTTCTTTATGGGTGCTAAACGTGGCCGCTTACATTAAGGGATGAGCAACGTCTAAAGGTTTTTGAAAATAAAGTATTGCGCAGAATATTCGGACCGAAAAAGGACGAGTCAACCGGAGAATTGCGTGAACTGTATTCGGTTAATGTAATTGAGATGATTAAATTGAGGCGAATACAATGAGCATGTAAAATCGGTGGGCTTAGTAACGGAAGAATTCTTAAAAAGTTAATATGCGATGTATCGTTTGGCAAGCGACAGAGGAGTAGACCAAAGCGAAGATGGCAAGATATGACTGATTTGACGGGGTTGGGTTTAGACGGAGCCCGGTGCATGTGGACATCAATTGGTGGTATCGGCATCGAACCTTCGGGTTCACTAAGCCCTATTATTATAAGATACAATTTTCAACAATGCACCATTACAAAAAGAATGAAATGCTGAACATTTCCCCTGCTTACAGTATGTAGGTTCAAATTTTAGTTAATGAGATATTTTAATCTACATACAAAAATACTTGAATTGGTTGACTCAAAAACCGGGCCTATGGATTAAAATATCTCAGGATCTAAAATTCGGGCTTGCATACTTTAAGCGAAGAAAATGTTCAGCATTTCATCCTCTTTGTAATGAGTTATTATTCAAAATTGTATCTCAAAGCATCGAGGAAAAATTTTTGTTACAATGCTCCTAAATTTTGAACTTTTTGATGGCTTCAAATGCCCCTAAAACCTTAAATCGACCTCTCTGAGTTGGCAGACGAGCTTTTTCGTAGTACCTTAAAGGAGTAGTATCAGAATGCAAGGTTGAAAATTTGGTTAAAATACTACCGGCTTTTCGTTCCTGTCTCCATGGCTAAAAAGTTTTAGTCGAGTGATAATAAATTGAAAAAAAGGGGGTCTGTATCGCGGAGTAGTATGACGGGAAAAAATTCTCGAATCCGATTTTGTTGTTTGCACTTATTCCAAATTTTTTAAATTGGATCTAAACATAAAATAGTCGATTATTTCCTGATCTATATTTCTGTAAAGGTTTAGAGAAAGGTCGAGAGAGCGCTGAGATCAGTGACTGTATAATAACTATCTCGGAGGCAGCGGCTCGTACGGTCCACTGCTTCCTTGATCCAGTAACGGTAATCCGCTAGCTTCTAGCTTCCAGGACTATCGATGCGACCCCTTCCATATCCTCTACTTCGCGGCCTCTTGTCGTAACTGAATGGTATCTTCTTGCGCCGGCTTGTTGTAAACTCTAGACTTATTATCTATTATTGTTATGCGTAATAGTCCGTGGACAGACACCATTTTATCAAATTGTTAATATGCGGCTGAAATCTCGTAAATTGCTTCATCTCATCGTAACCTACAAATAATTTATTTTACGAAAATTCTCGGAACTGGGGCGTTTTCAATCAGGAGGTTGGCAAAGTTTGTCTATTTTATTAGGTACTAAAAACTCGTAAATACCAACTTTTTTCAACTTGAATCGTAAGATAACTTGAGCACAAAGCAAGAAAAAATGTGGGATTATGACATAACAGAAATTAAACTCGGACAACATAATAATAAGAAATTGAGCAGGCACATCACCAATAAAAATGATAAAATAGACTTAATATACAAGAGAAATGTAATATATTAATTAAATTGTCAAAGCTGCCCCATAATCTACATTGGTGAAACATCCAAGCAATTAGGGACCAGAATTTCACAACATATTACTAACTGTGAAAATACAAAAAAACCTGAACACAACAGCATTACCACAGTATAATATTACAGCATAAATTTAACTTCAACAAACCACAGATATTCGGCACAGAACCAAAAAACACCAATAGGAAATTACTTGAAGCAATACACATCACAAAAAACAATAGAACAACGGTAAAATATAAAACAGACACTAAACATTTAGGAACTCATTATACGGACATATTAAACAAAATTAAAATTTAAAAGAAATGAAATTGCAGATACATAAAATAAACATTAACAACAATAGTATAAAAATAAACAGTCATATCCAAAGGTCAATTGTATTCACTATGGCAGACACCCAATAATTAGTCTAAAAGCAAGATGTTGCTCTAGATTTTGTATACCTAGATTATTATAACATGAATTAGAAACAGACGATGGAGAACATTATTTTTAAGGTAATTAAAAATTTATTGTAACAACAAAATTCTGACATGTATTGTAACATGCACTATATTTTAACTCAATAAATTTTTTAGCCTTGTATCCATAAGATCATTGGAATTGTGGTTCTGAAGATGGGAGTAAATATCTCGAAACGTAAACTTGTAAACATGCAATTTTGATAATACAACAAATATATTCAATTGTTGCTAAATGGAAGTAATCACTGCCAAATAACTAAGTGGGATTAAAAAATATCGAACCGTTTGTTTGGCCTCTATAGCCTCATTAATATTTTTTTTCCTTCAAAGGCCGTTGTTTATCTTGGCTTTGTGCTCTTGTTATGATAAGATTCAAATGGAAATCAAGTAGTTATTTTCAAGTTTTTAGTAACTGATTAAATAGACATAATTTTCCGACCTCCAGATTGAATAAGCCCCAAATCCAAGATTTTTATAAATAAAATATTTGTAGATTACGATGAGAAGAAGCAATTTAAGTCTGAGTCGGATGTTAATTATTCGATAAAAAGGGATTTGTACCACGGACTATATTATATGTGTGATTTTTACTTTCCTACCTTTACTGGATATAGAAAGTATTGCGATCGGGTCAAATTTCCGATATTCGGTTTTTGGAGCCACCTGAGTCCGAAAAACACATTTTTGGCCATTGATCTGTTTATCTGTCTGTCTGTCTGTGCCAAGATTTTCTCGGGAACTAGAGAACTGATTTTGTTGCTTCTTTTTTTATTTTGTAGGATTTTGCTACTGATGCCGGTAAGACAAATTAGAAGCTCCGTGCGCAATAGCTGCCGAGCAATAAATGAAAAACATGTTTTTCTATAGACTGTAGTGCGAAAACGGCTCTAACGATTTTGATGAAACCTTCCTATAATGTTCTAATAATTATTGTCTTTTCAATTTTCGTACGTGGACTAAATTCCCGAGAGGGAAAAAATTTATAAAGAAAAGAAAAAATGTACCTATACTAGACTAGGTAAGAAAAGTATTGCGATCGAATCAAATTTCCGATTTGCGGTTTACGACGGATCTTTACGTTTCAGAGTCCCTTGAGATGGTTTACATTGCTTTAGTTTATCAAATAAAGCGTACTAAAATCTTTTCTTTGATCAATTTTCAGGAAAATAAATCTAAATTTTTTTTTTTTGTTTCTTAATGGACATATTTTTAAAGATATAAAAACTATTCTGAAATAGGTAGGAAAGTCGTGTGAGTGGGCACACCAGATTTTTTTTTTAAGTGAATACTACTTTAGGCGTGTTTTGCGCATTTTTTTGTGGAGAGTGAATTAGGTTTAGCCGTCAGACTCCGATGTGCAATGCTCATTCGGATAAAGTCGGCTCGAGTCGACTAATCGAATTTTTTTTTGCATTTGAGTAAAAATATCTCAGAAACTAAAAATCAGACCTGTATAATGAAAGGGGGAGGGGAGAGAATTGTCAGCTAATTTTCATCCTATTTGTAATGAGATATTAATCAGAATTGTATCTTAAAGCTTTCTTTTCATAAAAATAACGATAATTACTTTGGGAAAAAAGAAAGAAACCAACTAACTATATGAAGTGGTGTTTAAGTGATTCCTTAAGTCCTTTTAAATGTAATTAAATATTAACATTTATTAATATTAACACATTAAATGTAGCAATAATACTTTAAGAAATAATTTTTTTCAAAAAACATGATTATATATTACCTTTTGGGGGAGGGGGCATCAGCCCCAAAGCCTCCCCCATAGATCCGCCCGTGCACCAAGTAAAAGGAAAAAAAACAAGTCGGAAAAAAAAATAGTGTCAAAACCATATGATAACGAGATTGGTTTAAAATAAGCATTAAAATGTCCCAGAAACTAAAAAAAAAAATATAATTATATACAAAACTATAATTTTCTTATATTGTAAATTTTATTACTTTGTGAATACAGAACAAAGAAAAATTTATATTTAATATTATTAATCTCACCTTGTTGATGTTTTTACGTCTACCGTGTGGTGTAAAGCATTTATTCAAGATTAACCGCCTTAGATTTACAACTGTATTTGGACAAAATACATCTAATAAATATGAACACATGAATATAATGACATGAAAAGACTTTCAGAGAAACTACCCATTGGTTGCACTCTAACAATATATCTACGTTAGGCCATCTTCTTTTCAAACGCTTCCGAGGATTATCGGGAAC